ATTAGATCATAGGTTTGTACCATAGTTCCAGTTTTGTCTACAAGGAAATCATCAAAACATGAAGACTGCTCTGATTTTACTGGCCTTCACTGCTCTCTGTAAGTCTTGATATTTGAGTTTTATTTAGTTCGGTGTATTATTTTAGAATACTTTTGACTTAATTGAGTCAGATTGTGTAGTATTCAGAGGTGGTTCTTTGTTCTTGATGTACAGCATTTCGTAAATTAGGCATTCGGATTTGTTCTTGCATCTTCTGAGTACTTTAAAACTTTCCTCTGAATACACAACCTGACTCAATTAAGTCAAAAGTATTCTAAAATAACGTTTTCAATAASATATAAAGCTAGTGATCGATCTAATAAAGTATTCTTGAAAATGASGCGCGATGACGTCGAAACGTCGAAAACTCTTGTTGTCCTAACTTGTTTAACCAAACAAGGTAAAATAGCTTATTAAAATGGTTRATGCCTGTAGATTGGTCCTTGTCTGAGGGTAACYAATCTTGTAACCTGCCTAAAGATGAAGGTCCTTGTCGTGCATCTATCSCACGATTCTTCTACAATACTCAAACAGACCAATGTGAACAGTTTACTTACGGTGGCTGTGATGGAAACGCCAACAACTACGAAACCTTGGCAGATTGTAAAAACGCCTGTCACTGACAAACCAAACGATTCCTAACACGGTAGGTGCACRTGAATACCTRATGTTGTTATAAGGKGTACCGTAGTTAGAGAGTGCAGCCTCGGTTGTCTCTCTACTCTCATTATCTTAGCAGTCCAGTTGTTTTCASTGATTTAAAAGTTATATCTTTCCTTTTCAGTTGTACTCAAGAGGTTCCATCAAAGWAGAAGTAGAACACTTTAAATCAGGGACAAAAGTATAAAAATAAAAACGCTTACTTAAAGTAATATTATTATTGTATTCTTTGATTTTGGGGGAGCAAGGCTAGCCAAGTGGCTTGTCAGCTATGGGTGGATCTAATCCGATACCAGGTCTTAGACCACACGTGATTTGAGTTGCTTGTTGCCATCTTTGGGCCGAGGGTATTTTGTTGTATTCTGTGCTAAAAAAATTGATTTAGAGGCTGTAAGAAACTCTGATCAAAATAAAAACACTGGAGATGTATTGGGAAAATGCGCAAATGTAGAAGAACTTATGTCGAATGTTGTTAAGTACTTTCAAAAAACATAAAAACACTGGGTTGTCCACAACCCAATCGTGCCCCAAAGCTTGCAAAGTAAAAATTGTAAAATTGCATAGCAAAACAAAATGACCAGAAGAAATAATGATGTTTCGTGATTCCATTTCTCTATATATTTGAGGTCATTTTAAAGCAATTCTTGGGGTTCCAGGCCTGCGCTATCTTKTTTAGTGTGTGTTGTATGTTAAGTAGATGATTTTGTTTTGAGTATATCTTTTCAATGGATGAGCAAGCTACATGAATTRTACAACAACATCACCAAAGCTTTTTATTACTTTCTTTTACATTTGTATTGTATTTCTACTWAAGTTAAGCCTGGTTTACATGCAGATCACTGAAAAGGAAAAGAAAAATTTATTACAACCTGAAAGACAAAATATACCCCCGCCCACCGCCACTCACCCCTACTACAGCGTGATTAGAGAGTACGTATATTCAGCTATTAAACACAGCCGTCGTCCGTCGCTAATATATATCCAAATTGTTCCGTTAACTGTCGATTTCGATTGTTTTTACTACTCACCTTCACATGCACGCTTTCCTGCAACTCTTTGATGTCAAGAATCGGTTACTGTTGCCGCGGCAACCACCATAGATAAACAAACTGCATGTTCTTCTGACGCTGTTGTAGTAGTACCGCCAGAAGAAACCACGGCATGGACCGGTGACCTTAGGCTGATTGCAGCGACTGGAGCCTGATTAGTAAAAGACAAAAGTTGATATGGGATAAGTGTATAGATGGACGTTCGTGCTTATAARRTATTAGCAAACTAGACGCTCTTGGAGCGTGAAGTCGGACTAGCTGTTTTTGAAAATTGAGAAAGACAGTAAAAATAAACTTTTCTTATCTTTTTTCCAAAATAGCTGAACTCACGKTCTAATAAGAGCGTCTAGTTCAAAATATGCAAAATTTCTAGACCCAAACAGCTTTTGGTTGACCGTCAAGATGGCCGCCAACGAGTTGTCAAGGAAACGTGACGTCACACGCAAAACCTCTAAAAATGTGTTCTSAATGATTCAGGATCGCATAATTATAGGTAATTCGCTGAAACGGCGGATTATATATAACCCGTTGGATATCATCAAAGCTAAGACCGATTAGGATTTTGGGAACTCAGATGTTCAAATTATATACAGTCAATGTCATTAATGTTGTCATTGACACTGTAAAGATGTTTTGCAGTTTTATGTTGAATCATATTCCGAAGAAATCAAAAATATAGTAAACGCAAGTGACTTTGCTGWGGTTTTTATGTCTTTAAAGCTTTTCAATGACAAGTTTSGCAATTTTGGGCCATTTTCTTTGTAAATYGATGTATTCAGCCGGGCCTGACGTTCAAATTTCGCGCTTCGGCCCGAGTCAATCAACTGGAAAATGTCGACACATTCTGCCCAGTGAAAACATCAATGCAATTAACTATATACCTAAACATGTTGCATAATGGATTCATTGTTGGAAAAGGCCATATTTAGTGGTGAAAATTGTTTTGAACACATACTATACGCATAATGTTATCAGCCCTGAATGTGCAGTCTGCTTTAGTTCTTGGCCTTGACGATAAGCGTTTTGAATCCAAAAACGTTTATAAAAACAGGTTTATGTGATATTCTTTATATAAAACTACCAAAACTTCTAAGAGGACCTACCGGATTTGGCCACACATGCCTGTTGACACTTTTTCAGTGTATAAAATCTGTTCCTATTTCCACCGCAGCCCCCATAGATGAATTTTTCGCATCGTTTTGTCCGCACATTGTAGTAGAATCGTGGGAAATATGCAAGGCAACGTCCAGGAGCCTTTGGCTGCATGCAAGAAGATCGAGAACGCCAGCGGTTCCATGGCCAACGAAAACGCCGAAAGCTTAAACCCTCGCACGACAAACCTTGAAAAAGAGAAGATTTACGACTTAACATTGCTATCAAGTTCTATATTTATTTATAGATCGTAGAATAATKGTAAAAGTCCACGTATTATAAGAACCTAGATTGGCTAAAGTTCATCAGGTTCTTATAAATTTGATAATTTGATATTGTATATTGAATTGAACCTAAACTTAACTCTTTCRTTTTTCGCATGAAAAAGTTATTCTGAAAATCAGAAAAAGAGGATATTACATGGGCTCGCGGAGATACGGATTTTATCATAAAATCCGAGTGTTCGAGTGTTGAAAAGATCTCTCACGAGTGAGGTAGCGAACGAGTGAGAGATTTTCAACACGAGAAGATAAAATTCGTATCTCAAAGCGACCATGTAATATTCTGTTTATCATATAATTAGATATGAAAGCAAATTATGTTGTAAAAATACCTTTTTTCTTTCTTCCAATATATAGAGAAAYCTCGAATGTGTTATTTTCACTAGTGAAAATATCAATTTTACGTAATGGAGAAATATAGGTATTTCATAGATAATTATATGATAAAAAGATATATTGAATATATTGGAATATAAACAAACAAAGCACAAAATTRTTGCACCCATGAAAACAGTAGAATGAGCTGCTTATGAATCAATCAAAACACTCCAATTTCCTCTTTGCGCTACTGCCTGTGTTTTGTACAGGRCTACCACAAACATAATAACCATTCCATATCAAGTCTACCAAAATTATCAATAAAAAAAAACAGTGACTTTTTGATTTTCTTATTTTCAAGAAATGATCTGTATGCTAAGAACGAACTTTGAGCTGCAATGGTTTTCTTATTTAAAGAGTGTATGGTTCTTCTTAAAATCAGTATGACAGCTTGCTGAATTTCAAGGTCGCGRATTTTAATTTTTTAGAAGCCGAGAATGTTGTCTGAGAAGGAATTTCGTATATGAAGTCACTTTTCGTCTGATGCAAATTCGAGAAAAAAATGTGACCAACTTCCTTATTTACCAAAATCAGATGTTATTTCTGTCAGTTTGGAACGGTGCATGTTTTCTCTCCAAYTTGAATCGATTCGTTTCTAGTCTCTTGGCCTGAATTAGGCAGGCACTGTATTATTGAAATATTTCGGAAAAACTCTCTCAAGTGTTTATTATTTTATATTCTATTTTTTTTTTTTTTCAATTTTAATCAAATTAACTACATATGCTTATAGTATGATGTTCGTGAAAATTCAATAGTTTCGTTGATAATTCTATATTTGTGTTTGTTGGGAGTAGCCACGTGCTCTGCTTCAGGGACATAGAAACACCATTCTATACAGAGTTGAGCTCAATTTTTGCCCGTCACTGAAAAATATTAGCGCGCACGGAGCTAGCCAATCATATGGCGCCAAAACAACGAACGGCGTTCCCTCAAACTTTAATTTCACTTTAAATTCTCTGACGGGAACAACTGACCATAAACACTKTCAAGGTAATGAAGAGAATCTGAAATTCTGAAAAAATCTCAGACTTTATTTACGATTAGACCGCGCCGGTCCCATTGGCGAGAGTTTTAGTTTTAAGGGTTTGTTTAATCACTCATACTGAACACAGGGTCTATAAACGTTCTGTGAGCAACAGAAATCAAAGTCCCGTCTAAATGGCATCTAAGTGTTATTTTGTTCATATATTAGCAAACTGATTTTATAGTTTCTAAGTTACTTTTTATACCATCAGCTTCAATCTGTCTGCTTGTGTTGGCAAGTTAACATACTTACATTAACCATAAATCAAGTTTCTTTCCCTTGAAGAGAGAATAAACTATTGGATATGTTCAGCAGGTATTACCAAATTTGTATATTAAAGTTGATTGTTAATATTCGCCCTTGACGAATGAAAACCAATGCAATATTCTTTAGTCTTAATCAAGTCTAGTGTAGTTATAGTTCGTGATATTGGCATTGAGATTGGCCTGAGGATTATATTCTCTGCAGAAATAACGGGTTCGTTAAAGTAATTCAAATGCAAAGGCAGAATTACGGACAATTTTTGAAATATTAGATAATATAGATCATTGGCCAAGGTAACTATACACGTGGCAATGAGATCGGAGGTCGTGGCTAAGTTCTCTTAAAAAGGGTTTCTTTGAAATATCAAATGCGAAGATAGAATTTATACGGACTATTTTGTAAATATGAGGTAAAAAAGATCACTGGCAAAGGTAAATGTACTGCTTTGGGCAAGACCAACGTAACGTTACCTAGAGCACTGAGCTAACAATCATATGGATTTAAGTTTAATTACAGCGAAAAACAATAAAACCGTTGCTGTAGAAAAATTTAGAAAAGCATCAAATATCAATACTTACACAGAACAACAACAACCAGTAAAAWCAAAGCAGTCTTCATGTTTGTGAGTTCAATGATTTGCTTATGAAAACCAGCGGAGCAAATGGATGAGTAAACGAATGATATAAATAGAGCCAAGATATCGCACCTGACTTGCACACACTCATTTACGTCATTTAAAACTTCAATTAGCAAAGAAGGTCCAATTATAGCTTGTTTTTTTTATATCAAATATTAATCATATTGCACATGAATATAAGTATTACTAGCTAATCTTCAAGTAGCTCAATGTGGTATGCTCGAAAGCTCACATTAAAAAGATTTGAAAAAGACGATTTAACTTGAAAGCAGAACAGAAATTTTAAAAATACATTTATAATTGATTTATTTTGARTCATTGACTTTGTTTAATTAGCGTGGGGATATCCCGTGAGTTTAAGTGTGTTTATGCACAACTACATGGAACAACACGAACATTCGCGTCCAGTCGAACCCAACAGCTGCCCTATATTAAGAGCACAGTTACCTCTCGCATTACGGACACCCCCGATATTACGAACGTTATTAAAATAATATCCGGCCTGTAAAATAAATTGGTAAAAATAAGCGATTTCTCGGTGGAGACTAGTGATAAACTAGTGTGATCCGCGTCGGTGTTTCTAAAGAAAGAGTTGTGTGAAAAGATAACTAATACCGTAAAAAAATAGGTTAAACAACTTACTGTCAACGTTTCGGACATGAATCCTTCGTCGGAGTTTAAAGAGGCACTTGACTTAGGACAATCATATGTAGTAACGGTTCTATCGAAGCGACACCGTGACAGCGATCACCAACGATTGTATTAAATGACGGCTTATAAGAAGCTTCATTTTGTGAGATTACTAAAATTGAAAATGAACTTTTGGGCAATTAAGTCAAGGTTATATATCAATCAATGAAATGAAAAAATGAAGATTATAAACCTCATCTTTAAAAACTATAAATGAATACTAATAGATTTTAATATTCTATGCTATAACGTTTCTATCGTACAAGCCAGACAACAAGTGTCTGCTAATATATAATTTGTTTCATTAAGGCCCAAATATACCACCTGTTCGTTGCCACAGTTTTACATACCAATTTTACATTAAAAAAATAAATTTAAAATTGAACATCTAAAATGAATTCGAAAACTTTTTAGTAGATAGATGAGATAGATASATGGTTTATTATACAAATTCGTCGCAACCCGAGGGTTGAATTATGAAAATATTTACATTAAAAATGAAAATGAAAAAAGAACTATGTATAAATAGAGTAGAGTATAGTAGACATTCATAGAAATGTTACTGCACTTGTGTGGAACAGATTATAATATGATATGTAAAAATGATACAGTTTTTCAATCCCGTCAAAGATAGTATCAAATCGTAAAAAGTTTAAGCATTGTCGTTTTAGTCCTTTTCTAGTAAGGTAAACAAGGATTGATGACTAAAGTCATATCAGTGTATTTTAGGGACGGTAAAAAATTCTAAAATGTTTACAAATTTTCCTACAACCTCGGTATAATTAAGCAAATTTTTCAAAACCGAAAAAGTCAAWTGAGAATATTTGTACTTAATAAATTGGATATTGACTGAGGTTTTAGGTGGTGATGTTCTTGGCAACGCGTTAATCGCTTAGGCCATTTAACTCATGAAAACGSTTTTTCCGTGTTTGCATAGCACACTTTAAAAAGACACTATATTCCTGTCGAGATTTCTCCCGCCTCCACAATTAGTCAACCAAATRACTTTACATTATAGGGAAAATGCATGAAAACCATGAAATAAAATCAAACTTTTAAGTTAAAATACTAACAAATTGCGGTTATTTAGAGACAATTTGTCAGTATCAAAGGCAATCAAGGAATCCACTTAGGACAATTTTTGATTCATCTTGATTGCGTTCTGGTTCATTGATACTGACAAAGTGTCTCTAAATATCCTCTATTTGTTAGTATTTAGTTTGATTTTATTTCATGGTTCTCTAACCATGGCTTTCTAACGTTTAAAACTTGTTTATTGTTCGTGTGTATGTGATGTCATAGTCACGCAAAAAATCTCGCAAAATCCAAAATATTTTTGCTAAAGAGCTGTTCTTACAGTATATCTTAAATATATTTCTAGGTAGTGTGTATGGAAATTTTCAGACGAATTCAACGCTTTGGTGGCGAATCACAAAAGTTTTAGTTTGTGCGGAGTTTAATTTATTCTACTTTTAGATCGTAAACAAAAACTTCGAAATTGGATAAATCATTCTTTCAACTCCGTAATAAAGCCATAATTTAACAAAATTTACAAAGGAAATCAGGGAAACCAGAGTTTTTGAAGTCAATTTGAAACCAGCCGCCATCTTGGATGATCAATGCAGCCTTCAGTTTTTTAAAAATCCCCTTGTCAAATTCATTAATAATTCATAACTAAGGTAAACACAATGAAAAATCATTGCCTTGAAATCTCAGGGAAACCAGAGTTTTTGAAGTCAATTTGAAACCAGCCGCCATCTTGGATGATCAAAGTTATCATCCAAGATGGCGTCCCCATACAAATTAACCANGACTATGCTCTTTGTTACTCACTACTTGGTTTTTGAAAATAACGACTAATAAATTTTCACTTTGGGGGTTGCACAACAACAAGAATACATGTTTGCAATTGGTTTGAGAAAATATGATTGTTGAAGTTGTTTTTTTATAAGTGGAAACGAATGAGCTCTGCAGGGGGATGGGATTATTAGAATAAAAATATTCTGTTTGGCAGTGACCGTTGAAAATGAGATTAGACTCGTTGTCAGCTCCGGACCATCAAAGTGTTTCCCTAATGGTATTTAATATTTTTATTACGAGGTCTCATTGACTAGCAACCATGGAACTTGAGCACCTTACATACCCTTGGTGATACTGTGAAGTATGAGAAGAAAAGACGAGATACAATGTTTAATCAATATCTCCTTTAATCTTTTTCTTTTTTCTTTTTTTATATTTTTTATTTTGTATTTCGATCAATTACCAACATTCGAAAAAAAAAATCGGTTTTTCGCTGTTGTCAAAGTCAATGCATCAAAAATTCAGTCAAACTCACTCTCTCCTGCTGTCTTCTGCGCTGACATTTTAAWTTTAGCAATTGAATCTACAACTTCCTGCAAGAAGGGTCAAATGGTCAATCAATTATTTTCATTCCGCTTTATCGCTGTACTTCTCCATATCGATTATACATATCGATCCAAGTTGAGAGCTCTTGCGGGAAGGGTCACAAACATTTCTTTTTTAGAACTAGCTGAGCAGTCATTGTTTTCAAAATAGATAATACATTTTAACACACCTTTGTACCTTATGTAATACTTAGAACTGTAATTATATTTATAAAATCATAAAAGATCTGGTATCATGGTGTTTGTAATAAAACACTGATTATATTAGAATAGCTCATTTAAATATACTTGAATACATTATTTAGTATTATATCTTTTTATCAATATATTTTAAAAAATTGTTTCTTTTTATATAATGTTTGAATGTATCATTTTAAGGCGAAATTTATTAAATAAATAATTAAATAAATGACATCATCGTAAAATTCTCGTTATTGGTCTCTGATCGGTGTAGAAAGTGCATTAGTTATATTACCTTAGATAATCGTCAATGTTGAAAATAATAATCAATATTGACATACACTAATCAGCCAATCAGCGCGCGAGAATTAACACGAGTATGTTGTAAAAATATACATTTATCGTTTTTTATCGCAAATAAAGCTATAGGATTATGATAAAAAATATAGTTATCTTTTGCCAGCAGCAAACAGCGTTTGATGGGAACTACTGATTATTGGTAATCAAATTGAAGAGTAGACTGAACTTGGCCGATACAAAACACACTAACCCTGTCTATATACTGTCTGCCTTCAAGCAACTATATAGTCAGTAGTCTGACGCTTGGAGTGTCCTTCACTCCAAAACACTCCATTCAATTAGATAGTTTTGGGAAATCATTGAATTGAAGCTAGCAAGGTCAAAAATCCACCCAGTTTCGAATTCTCCCATGATCTATGTTAGCATGATCATTTGTGCGCAAAATATTCCTAATTGTGAGAATAAAAGTGTGAGATTTTAAATCAATTCCATTGTCTTCCTATCAAATTTCATGCGTTTTTTCGGGCTATCAAAAAAAACAAAAGAATATGTTACTTGGTTTTGATGCTAACACAGAGCAAACCAGAACTCGAAATCGGGACTATTTGGTATCTATTAAATTTTGAGCTTCATTTTTTGTAGGATATAGTCAATTGTGCCCAGGCGTTTACGCACGCACGTGCGCACCAATGGCAAGGAATACTAAAATTTTCGTGAATTTTTTTTATATGATTGTCTTTGCTTGCTTTCTCACACATAAATTTAATGCCTTTTATATGTTCTCGATTCCCCTCAAAACGCTGGAAATCGCATTTCCAAAATCATTTCAAAATTTCCTAGGGCAGGACCAGACCCCCCTTAACACTCCCGATCCGACTTCTGCGGCCGGATGTGTTACGGTCCCTGACATGTGCGTACTACTCCACGATACGCGCCTGGTGCACCACGTTCTTTGAACTAGTTTTTTTTTAAGATCTGAAGTATTAGTGTTCGTTGGAGTTAGGGTACTGAGGGTAAGGCTGGCATCAACGGTGCTTTAATAGGACTGACGATCTGTTTTGAAATGGTAAGTTATGACTGATATCCCGATAAGGCTTAATCCAGAGGTTAAAATCTAACGAATCGCCAGTTTCCCTGGATTAGCGCAAGTCGTACTTTAAAAAGCCCGCGTTTCTACTATACCCGTTTTAGAGGGAGACGAAAGTAGCCATTTATGTCAAGCTACTGGCACATATCTATATCAGGTACAATGACAAGTATTGCCACAGGTAGCCCAAGGTTACAACTTGTCGGCTTCTCTGTGAAGATCWTGTAGAGACGTTAAATATTATCTGCAGTACAAACATTAGTTTACTTCACTGTAGGAAGCTGAAACATCGTGTGCATGTRTAATTATTTAAGCACAACATATTTTGTGAGTTTGAATGCATTGATTTCCGACTTTCGTTGAATTTGTCGTTTTTCCCTATGAGACCTTCAGAGAAAAAGATGGCAAGTGCTGAGCTTGGGCTACCTGTGGTATTGCCATCGCCTGYAGTAATCCCCAGTTCATAAAACTGTTGAAGCGCGCGATTCCAATAATAACATATTTTATCATAATAACATATTTCGTAAAATTGATATTTTCACTAATGAAAATTTTTACTAGTGAAAATAACACATTCAGGGTTTCTCTATACAGTGGAGTTAAGAAAAAGGTATTTTTCAGCATAATTTGCTTTCATATGTAATTATATGATAAACAGCAGAATATTACATGGTCGCTTGGAGATACGAATTATCTTCTCGTGTTGGAAATTTTTTCAACACTCGAAGATAAAATCCGTATCTCCGCGCGCCCATGTAATATCCTCTATATAACTCAATTTCAATTTATTCAAATGATTTCCGTATCTATGAACTTGACGAAAACTCGAATTAGCATGGGTTTCCGGGTCTTGGAATATTAGAAGGAGGTTTCCAACATTCCTTCGCCTGCTGTTTCAAGCAAGATCAACATCTCTACGTGTATCTATTTCACTGTTAAACATCAATCCTTACTCAGCTAAAAAAAAGATATCAAATAGACTCTTAAAGGGCTACTTCGACGAAAATTTTAAGAAGATATTGATACAAATCCTTAATAAGTTGGGCAAAAAATGTTGGAGTAGATGACGTCATTTACTCAATCCCTTTGTTCTTCCATCTTTTTAATCAAAATTTCTCTGATGTGGGATAATTCCAAAACAAATATTTTTCCTCAATTGTTTTTAATAGATATATGAGTCATATATTTGTATTGCTTGAAGTTTTGAAATAAGGCCATTTTCATGCAAGTAGCACTTTAATGTTATGATTTGGGCCAGTCAGCACCGACCGGAACAGGTCTTATGATAGGTTGAGAAAACAATGGACAAACAGTAGATAAATTTTCCAACAATAAAACAAAGGCTAACCTAACAATAGAGCTGCTGAACTTTAAAGCAGCAATCCGAAAAGCAGGTTTCCATCGGTTCTGTATTGCTGTATGTTTTCCATGATGTGCAACTATAGTACTATGGTTTCCATGGAAACCCACTGTTCATCTAGAATCGTGTTCTTGYATCCATTTCTCTCTTTTTGTGCCAACCAGTCTCTTTCAGAAGATCTTTATCCTATGGCCCCGACCAAGCAATTTGATAATGAAATCAGATATATCAAACAGTTTTTTTCTCTATATCCTCTCTGATTTGTATCCTCTTGCCGTAGTTCGCGCTCCCCCATGCTTCGATTTTCTTTTTCTCTTTTTTTCATTGTCTTTCACTGGAAAAGCTTGTAAATTTGATGTAATTATAAAGTAATTGTCCAAATGATGTAAATTTGTGGTAAATTTTGGTTGATATGAGTGGCGAACTACTAAAATGAAACTATTTTCAGTTTTTGTTACCAATCTCCGCGCGGTACAAGTACTAGTTCATGTACGATAATGGCGGTGATGGCGCTAAAGAGATTTTGTGTCTTTTGCAATTGASGCGCGGTTAGAACTGTGAAATTTACTGAGGAWGTGAGCTCTGGAAAAGGATTCAGAAACAAAMCTACTAGTCATCTGCCAAACACATTACATAACTCAACCTAATATAGAATAACTGGTCTCACGGTGTTAAAGTCCAGTATGTAGAATAGATCTTTTTCTTTATGGCTCTGGTTTTGACAAAAATTTAGCAGAAGAGGTCTTTTTTTCAAGTGATGCTTCAACCCCGTCGCAATTTTGGACGGTTWYTCTCGATCATATGATTSTTTGAGAAGGATCTGTCATAAAACTCCCATATATGGYTGTACATGCATTTAGCGCTGATATGATACATAGAACGCTCTGATATACATATTACGTGAAGACTTCAACTCTTTAACGGAGAGGACGTAGAAAATATATTGAAAATTGAGTCCATTTGCCTTTTTCGTGAAAAGAACAGTTTTACAAGTCTCTCTCGTCTCTCTCGCCACTGCTTTCGGTAAGTTTTCGTCAMGTCTGTTTCGGAAATCTGTGCCCTCGTTCGAAAGTAAACAACGATAGAGGAAGTCTAATGTATTGCATATGCACATCCTTATATGGAAATCATACTAGAGATTGTCTTGAATGTGGACCAATCTCTTTCTTTATTTTTCTATTCATATGATATGTTTGTTACATTTTTTATTTTGTTTCTGTTTTGAACATTTTCTTTGATTTACCTGATGTTTGCGTCAGTTCTTTGTCATTTTTTCTTGGTTATCTGAGTAAATGTAAACAATCTTGCTTTTCTAAAAGCCTATTAGGGATTGTATTCCGCCAGAGCAAACATCAGTTTCATATTCTAGCATTCTTCTTGTCGATGATAATGCAACGTAATACTTCATGCTAAACTGTTTACGTCTGCTTGYAAAAAATATTGACGCAGTCGGATTTTTTGCTTTCACCTGGAAAGTGAAGATAAAAAAGAAGAGAGAAAGAAAAAAAAGGAAATTGCAAAAATAAATTGTCATCGTTAGCTTATTACGTAGATTGAATGAGGGCTCAAAAATTCATGTGTTATGAACACTTTGCGAAGAACTGTTTAGTTCAAAAGCCAAGAAAGCTCCTCTAAATATCCAACTTTTGAACTAAAAAACTAATTAAATTGTATTTTTTATTTTTATTCATTTATTATTCATTTGTGTCYATGTTTTTGAAAACAGGTATGTATATTATAATTAAAAAGACTTTGTTTAATTTCAAATCTAATTATCTTTAACAAAAAGATTCTCGTTGATTATACAAACAGCACAAAACATCTTAGAAGCGTTACACACAGTAAATACGAACTAATTGTTAGTGCGTAATACCAAGCTAAAACAAATAATGTCTGCTACTAATGATTGCGCAAGTTTAAACACTTAAAACTAGTAAAAAAAGTGTTACAAATGATCAAATATACACCGGACAATACTCCAACTTCAATTTCTAGTTTGCTCTGTTATGTCAGCCTCAAAACTAAACTCAATATGTTAATCTTGAATCCTTCAACAGCATGTTAGTAGGAGAGTAATAATATAGCAAATGCATCCAGACACTTTGCTGTTAGATGTTTTAGCATCATCAGGATATCAGAGTCCTGATTGTGTAGTTGAGCAGCGAAATCTCGACTCCATATACTGTATTTAACATCTAACAGCAGTTCTGGCTGCATTTGCTATAGTATTACTCAACAACATTATATATTTTTTCTCGTTGATAGTCCGAGAAAATTCATGGAATTTGTGAATAAAAGGCAACAACATTTTATTTTTGAATATTTTGCACACAAATGAGGGTAACATAGAGCATTAAAGTCATAAATGACAACAATAAAATAAGGTCTGCTTAATACTATCTTACAACATTTCATGGGCTAGAGTGAAGGCATTGATCCTGTGAAATAAAAGTTAATAATTAAACTGTAATAGTCAAATAGACACAAAAGAAAACAATGGAATTATCGAGTAATAACATGTAATAGTCACATATGTATTTCACGGGTTCATTGACTTCACTCTAAGAACAACGACAATTTAAATGTCAATATTAYTGTTAAGGTGTCACCGATCACCATGGAGAAAACCTTTTGTACATCAGCACCATGAGGGAGAGATCGACTAGTCAGTATAGATCAAAATTGATTATGTAGATATCATCCGCCATTTTAAAAATCTCTTYCACGTTAAAAAATGGGATTTTTGTCCGGTTTTAAATATCACGTAATGATAGCGAAGCCCGCAAACAGTTATAAAGGCTTTGTATATTTTTCACGTACAAAATTGAAATAGAGACTTGATTGTTTTGATGATCGAAAAGGATAAAAATCCAACAACTACTTCACACTGTCTAATGATCTACCTTCTCACAGCTTTAAAAAAAATTCTCCGAAAAAGCGATGATCGGTAAGAAAAGGTGCTCTTATCACGAGAGAATTTCCTCCAATCAGTTTGCGGTCTCTGSTAAATATCTCTTCTAACGTCCTGGCTGTTACTTTAAAACTTAAACGATTTTCTCAGCTTATCKAGATAAATTGATTTATAGCGCAAAATTCAAGGACTTGATGAATGTCACCATGGAAACCAAAACCTGAGAAAGAAGCATGTTTGAACAAAGTGTTTTCGATTTTTGTTGAATTAAAGTAAATACATTTTACTTTCCGCTTTTTGGTTTTTTAGTCTTTCTTTTTAGTGCTCTTGAGGAAGAAAGGTTTCACTTCCACCGCCGGAAGCTGCTTTATTTAAGGTAAAAATAGTATTTTTTATACTGTAGTTTTCTGCAGCACGAGTATGTATATAATATAATCGATATATCAATTTTTATTAACAACTCTACACATTGTGTGTGTATGTTGGACAGACATTTAGAATGACGTATTTCCTTACTGAAATATCACACGTATTTGTAGCTTTGCGATTGAATGAAAAAACATCATTATTTATTGCTTTATTTAAGTTAAAAATAGACTTTTGTCGAAGAGTTTTTCCACGAGTATGTATATAACATAATCGATATCACTTTTTATTAACAACCCTGCACATTGCTTGTGTATGTTAGACAGACATTTGGATTGACGTATTTCTTTACTGAAATATCACACGTATTTGTAGCTTTGAATGAAAACAGCATTACTYATTAATTGATTTAATATCCCGTAGYTAAAATKATGTCTTGTTATATYATACGATATTAAACTTATGGGCGTTTCTTTGCCGAGACTTTCAGCTGCTTTCCTTAATATATGGTAGAGTTTCGAAGCCGCCGATTTAAAGTGTCTAACTTTGATAACGCGCTTCAGACAGAGATYGCTGTTGTTATTCTTAGAATGGGAMAGATCCTCTTCATAGCAAGCAGYAAACTTGAAAACCAATGGAAAATGGCTCTGACCGAGTTTAATATTTGAACAGTAAGTCTATACAATGTTCAGAACACCATGMTTACAATAGATCTATATTTCTTTTGCGGACAAACGTTAGAGACCCTAGTACTAACAACACTTGTCGATTCAGCTAGAATAGGTATAAATTGACCAGCCCTTTTAGATCCATTGTTTTTCGAGAATCCTCCGGTGCAATATAAAAACGCCTTGGAAATTATCATTGTAGACGTTTTAGAAACGCTTTGTATTGGAGATTTCCTTAAAGATCGTGAAAGAATAGAAATGACTATGRATCGATGTAGATCGTGTCAATAAAGATGGTTTCAATGTAGATATCGCGCAGTTTCAAAATGTTTTTTGYCATTTTACTGTTTTAAATTACTTTAAGGAAGTCGAAAATCAAAAATAGATTAAGTCGAACGGAAACGTATCTCTTTGAGCGAAGTATAGCTTGATTTTTTCGATGGGTATTGTAATTGTACAATTTGCCGTATAATTTCTTTGCAAAGAAAACAAATTAAACTGAAATGATTTTTTTTTTATTGTTTATGTTTTTTGATTTTGATTTTTGATTTTTTTGAGGACTAAGAACAATGCAATTGAAAAGTTCTACATGCTAGCGCGGCCATAGTCCAATGTAGTCTTAATATAGCACYTTTAATTAAATTAAACATCTACGTAAACTTTGTTTTCCTTAATATGTATGATTTACGAACATGACGTGTGAATAAGGTAAGGGGATGTTTGTCATTACTTACTGATAAGTGTCTCAATGAGGATGAACGTAGCAYGCTTAAAAATTTGTTTTTCCACGACTCAATGTAATTTGGAAGTTCACGGTTATTTAAACAATTTAGGAAATTTTCCGCAATAAAACGCCTAAAAAATTGAATATTTCTATGAATTTGTTGTTGTTTTTGTTGTTGTTTTGTCCATGTCCCATAATTCATGACAGATGTACTCAGACTCGCTAACTAGCTTTAAAAAAAACCTAAACATGACCTTAGAGTACGGAATATTTTCAAATGCACTTCAGAGGAACAGAATTCACGGTTTACGCCATAAAARTTTTTCACGGCCCACGATTTTATTTTTCTCGTTTTCGTGCCCAACGGTTGATTTTTTTYAGCCGTTTCACGGCTCACGGTTAATCCCATTGAGACCCACTATAATAACGTAGAACTTTTCTTATGATCGTTTGTAATCTAATTTCATTAGAAAATTGGAATAATAATATATTTTTAAAGTGGTGCTTATATTTCCGTCTGATGCAAAGTTGAAAGTTTAAAAGCTCGTAAGGGTTTACGATATTGCGTCATATATATAAGCGCTCATGACAATTTTACGCTATCTGATTGGTTGTCGGTTGTCGTTTTATCGCAGCAATCGCGCCTTTTCTYATCTTGTGAGATACTCTTAAAAAAATAGAAAAACTCGCCGTCTGTGCTATTTTTAGCACCATAAAACACTTAGTGATCAGTGAGAGAACATTTTATTTATTTGCCTCTAATTGGATGCTATATTACGCGTGTTCTCATTGGATGATARCTAGTTATATTGGAATCCATAATCTTGCCGATCATTTGATCTAAAATAAGAAATATTTCAAAGATGAATCATATGRCCGCATTAGATAAGCCGCGTCTTCTCACCTTCCTGCCTCTCGTCCTCTTCAGAATTCTCACTGGTTTACATCATAGACTCAGCAAGACAKTTTTTTTATTATTATTTGAACTTTAGCTCACAAAGCATAACTTTATTTTTTCAAAATRAATATATATATTCTAAGTAAGGCATTTTCAAATTGACTCAAGTTTCTGTAAATGAATGTGAATACTTTACATTCGCTGATTAAGTCACTTCGCGCAATTGTGAGCGTACTTAATTTGACAACCTATTTCAAATGGCTGTATACATAACAGAGTACATCTATTTTTAATTGGATGTCACCTGCAAATTGTTAATTAATCTATACGCAAGAGAAGCTAGCTAGTAATTGTTATTTGATACAATCTAAAATTCAGCTTGAAGAGTAAAAATTGATTATAATTATTTTTTATTCAAAACATGCAGTAGCCAATGCTTATTAACGGATTGTCGGT